AAAAAAAAAAAATACAAACCAATCCAGTGTGGACTCCAGAACATGAAATGAATTTGCCTGATGCTTACATCTCGACAACTGCTCACCAACTGCCCAGCTTCTCCTACTTCTGCTCACCTAAGAGCTCACCATGACAAAATGATTTAGGTTGTCTTACCACTCACCTTTCACACTTTTCTCCTTTTTTTTTTCCTTTTAAATTGGGGTCTCTCTCTATTGCCCAGGCTGGAGCACATTGACATGATCACGACAATAATGGCTCACAGCAGCCTCAACCTCCTGGGCTCAGGCGATCCTTCCCCCTCAGCATTCCAAGAAGCTGGGACTATGGGCACATATCGCACAGCCCGCTGGGTTTTTTTTATTTTTTGTAGAAACGAGGTTTTACTATGTTGCCCAGACTGGTCTTGAACTCCTGGGCTCAAGCAATCACCTGCCTCAGCCTCCCAACATGCCTCGCTTCCTGCACACATTTTTAACCCAACTGAGGAAACTACACACATTTTTGGTGTTGGCATATTCTACTTAAAAATGACACTGTCTCTCATAGCCATGTGAATATTAAGATATGCTTAATACTCTATAAACTTTAGTTTTGTCTAATGTTCAACAGCATGTTGAAGACATTCCATGCCAGTCATAGTTCCTACTGGTCTTCTATGTACCAAAAATGTATCTTGTTTTGTCTTTTGGGGGAGAAGGAGAAACCAGGGGGAAACATTTTAATTGCATTCAGTTAATTTAACTGTATACAGTTCAATTTAGAACACGGGTACATGTGTTTGCATTTTCCCTGGCAGTTTATACAAACCTTTAGAGTATACCATATGTGTGCAATCACAGCGCAGCTTCTCCTCTTAATTGGGATCCTTTCTGATAATCCAATGAAAGTTCGAGAATCCTTTTGGGGGCGGGAGAGCAACTCACACCCATACATAATTTTGCTTAATAATTTCAGGAGTTCATGGACCTAAGAGAGAAAGTACCCTCCCTCAAAGCAAGGTATATATACCAGGGGGAAAAAAATAAGAGCTTCATAAACTCATCACCAAAAGAGAAATCTGGGAGCAGAGCTACCCTGGAATTAACCTGGACTCTTCTCTCTCAGCTCTGCCATTTCATTTTCCTAGTCAAGCCTGGAGATTAACTCAGAAAGAGACTTCAAATCAATTCCTACTCTCTATCTCCTCAGCTGTACCCTTAATTAAGGCCTTCCTCACCTATCTGTATAGCATAATTATATAATTAACATACAGACTATTAAATCAGACCTCTGAACTTTGCCCTTTTCACTTTACCAGATAGAGGACAGCAGGCAAAAACATTCCCTTAATGACAAACACTGGGTTACTTTCCCCCTTCTAATATGGGCTACCATAATACTTTCCTTACTGATCCTTGTGATTCTAGTCCAACCATCCTCCTGCTGTATAAACCTGTTCTTGCTGTTCTAGACATGAAAAAATTATATCAGAATCAAGTTTTGATCCTGCCTAATATCAACTTCATCTCCTTCTCCATCCAACCCAACCTATACTCTATAAATGATAAAAAAAAATTCAGTTCCACAAAACCCTAGCCTCTTACACCTCCGTGCACATACAGACTCAAAGGCTGAGATCATAAATATTATACTTTATAGATTAGGATATTGAGAAGCACAGAAACTAAGTAACTTGCCAAAAATCACATGACTAAAGGCCCAGAACCAATATCCGAACCTAGGTGTTATTTCTTAGAGAAAACACTTTTTCCATTAAACAGACCTGCCTCTCTACACAAACAATACCTAAACACTTTCAATTACTAATGCCTGAGACTTTAGGGGAAGAATAAAATTTAATTTGACACATTATTTAACTTTGATAACTTTCAAGTTGATGCTATTTTCCAGGGGGAAAAAATGAAATGGACACTCAAAATAATCACTAGGCTACGAAGTAGCCTAAAATATTCCTTTTTCTTTTTTTTTAAGAATCAGTCCTTGAGAAAGCAACACAAAATTAAACATCTTAATTAACAAACGCCACTGAAAGGAAGGCAGCTGCAGTCACAGCATGACCCGCTTGTCTGTCAGCTAGGCTAAAACAAACTGGCAGCTGACGCAGTCGCTTGTCTTTAAGCATCAGTTTGGGTAGAACAGAGTCCAAAAGCTGATAATGTACATTAACACCTCAACTGCAGCCAGAAAACACCACAATGTTTCCAGAGGCAGAAAAAATATATCTAAGAAACTCTATTAACTTTTTTAAAGCCTAACAATCTATTAGTTTAATCTTTTTTCATAACAACGTGTAAATTATGCATAACTGGAGTTTAAGCAGCTAAGTGCCTAAAAGTTTCTGAGTTAGGAACAAAATCTTAGCCAAATTTAACTACAATATGGGTCTATTTAAGATAACACTAATTTCAAAGAACACACTTTCTGACTACAACCCAACTTTAGAAAGAAGTTACAAGATACATTGGAAAAAATGCATTTGTTTGTAATTTATCAAACACTTTTAAATAAATCATGAATCATCAAAGGAATCTTAGAAATTATAAAATGTCTAAATATTGAAATAAATTTATTGAATAGAACAATAAATGCTTTATGAACAAAATAATAAAAATACTTTACATCAAAACTTAGCCCTCAGGCAAGGAAAGATTCCTTAAATGAAACAAAAAAGGGCTCAGACGGAAAGGCGGCCCTCACCCGTCATGACCACACGTTCATGGGAAGCCTGGTGCTAAACCATTCACAGACGACCTGCTTCTGGGTCAGGTTTCAAATGTAGCAGAGCAGCTCCCTCACTGCGATCCATTGAAAATCAGCCTTCAACACAAGGGTTTGTAAAAAAAAAATAATAAGATAAAGAAAAAAGAAAAATAAATAAGACAAAAGATATTAATCATAAAGGAAAAAACATACTAATCATATAAGTGATCAGTAAGTACTTATGTCTACTAATCATAAACATAAAATGCGAATCATAAAGGAAAAGCTTATAATATTAAAAGTAAGAACTTTAGTTCCAAGACACTCCGAAGGTAAAAAAATAAACCACATACTGGAAGAAAATATATACAACACATGATGATAAATTATTGTAATCCACACATAAAAGCAGTTACAGGTCAAAAAAAAAAAGAAAAAAATATTAGGTCAAAAGACCACAGGTCCTTCATAGAGAACAAAACAGATGGCAAACATATTGAAAGAGGCTCAGTATTACAAGGGAAGTTCAAATCAAAGCCACAAAAAAGTATTACAACACATCCAAAAGAATGGCAAAATTGAGTAAGTCAGACAAAATAAACTAATGACAAGGATGTGGAACAAGTGGAGTCATTATATTCGTTGGGATATAAATCGGTACAACTACTTTGGAAAGTAATCTGGTAGTAACTAGTCAGGCTGAAGACTGGTTGGCTCCATAACACAGTAATCACATTCCCAGATATATAGGCCAGATATATCCCATGAGCAACAGAAGCAGTCACATGTGAGCAGCAGTGTTTGCAAAAGATTATAAACAACCCAAATGCCCATCAACTGTAGACTAGATTATACAACAGAGAAAATGAATGAACACTAACATTACCTCAGATGAGTCTCAGAATTAGAGCTCTGAGTGGGGGGAAAAAACAAGTCTCGTAAAAAGACATACAGAACTGGGCTTGGTGGCTCAGCCTGTAATCCCGCGCCTTTGGGAGGCTGAGGTGAGTGGATTGCCTGAGCCCGCGGGTTCGAGACCCGCCTGGGCAGCGAGACCTCATCTCTACAATAAATAAAAAAAAAATCAGCTGGGTGTGGTAGCGCATGCCTGTAATTCCGGCTACTCGGAAGGCTGAGGCAGGAGGATCACCGGAGCCCAGCAGGTCAAGGCTGCGGTGGCCGGGAGCAGCCACTGCACTACAGTCTGGGCGACCGAGTGAGACTCCAACTCAAAAAAAAAAAAGACATATAGTGTGATTCCCTTAGTGTAAAGTTCAAAACAGAAAACTAACACAAAGTTAAAAAATGATAGACACAATGTTCATTCCATGACCACTGTTTTAAATGTCAAGGATATAAAGTGAACAGAGAGACATTTCTGCTCTCATAGAGCTTACATCACAGCCAAGTGAGAAAGAAACTTAAAAATAAGTAAAACAGGCCAGGAGCAGGGGTCACACCTGTAACCCCAGCACTTTGAAAGCCTGAAGCAGGAGGATTGCTTGGGGCCAGGAGATAGACAGCAAATGAGACCCCATCTCTACTATATCTTTAAAAAAAGAAAAAAAAGCAAATATTACCAGGTGGTGAAAAGGGCTTGAAGAATGAGGAGCTAAGGCAGTTGAGGGAGGATATGTTCAGGAGGAGGTGACATAAGGCTTCACTAATACAGTGGCACTGGTGCAAAGTGGGGAGGGACAGAACCACCTCTGAGGGAAGAGGGAATGGGATGATGTGACCAGGGAGCTGACCAGGCCTTCCAAGGTGATGGGAATGCCCACTGTTCAAGATGGGCAGTAGACACCTGGGTGCTTGCTTTGTCATTACCCTCTATACCAGAGCAAGAAACTACAACCCACAGGCCAATCTGGCCCCATTTGTTTTTGTATAATTCATGAGTTAAGAATCATTTTTATATTGTACATGGTTAAAGAAACTAAAAGAATAATGTTTTACAGTATGTGAAAATTAAATGAAATTGAAATTTCAGTGTCCAGAAATACAGTTTTATTGGACAGAGACATCTCATTCCTTTACACACTGTCCACAGCTGCTGCAGCACCACAACAGCAGAGCTGAGTATTTGTGACAAGGGCTACATGTGGCCCGCAAAGCCTAAAAGGTTTCTTGTCTGGTCCTTTACAAAGAAAGTTTGCTGTCCCCTGACACTGAGCACAACTGGGGACTTACCCAGGCTGACTTGGGTGTTCTTTCTCTGGGTTCATAGAAAATTCCTGATCTATACCTTTGCTTTCAGGAAAACCCTTTCAAACTGTTCTTCCAAACTAGCCAGGCATAATTGCACACACCTGTAGTCCCAGTTACTCTGGAAGCCAAGGCAGAAGGATCACTTGAGCCCAGGAGTTTGAGGCTGCAGTGAGCTATGATTACCCAACTGCACTCCAGCCTGGACAACAGAGTGAGATCCTGTTTAAAAAAAAAAAAGGGGGGTTTCACTCAGCTCTCACACCACCACAACAATCATCAATACAAAAGATTTCTGTGACCAAATGTGGTTTCACCACACACTAAGCAGCAGGTACCAGCTGGGCATCTTCTAACTCGATTCTGATACTACCTGGAGATAGTGTCAGATCCCACAGGGAGAGGGCTTAGTCCCACAAGACTGCCCTCCCCACCCAGATACCAGTTGAAAATTCGGGTTTCCAGAACTTCTGACCAACTGATTTCAAGATGGGGATCCCATGACCCCCTCTTTGCGTCTGATTAATTTGCTGGAGTAGCTCACAGAACTCAGGGAAACACATTTGCAGTTTATTATAAAGGATACACATGAAGAGATACAAGCAAGGTATGAGGGAAGGGTACGGAGCTTCCAGAAGCTCTCAGAACTCTGTCCCTTTGGGTTTTTACAGAGGCTTTATTACCTAGGCGTAATTGATAACCATGTAGAAATGTTACTGTACAAAAAGAGTATGATCTCACACTAACAGACTGAGTGGGAAAATCCGGTAAGGCTCATTTGTTCAGATTCTTCTTGGCCTCTCTACGAAGCATTCCTTTCTCTAGAGTATAGGGCAGGACATTCTCTGGAATGAGGGTCTTTAGACCCATAATCAGATTAAAGTCCTACTTTGGGCAGGTAAAAGGAAAATAAAAGAAGGTCAGAGAGAGAGATTCTACTTCCTGAGGCCTGCTCCTGAGGCCTAAAGCACCCCAACATTATAACAAAAGACTGTAACAATGGCTATAGGAGTTATGATCCAGGCACCATGGATGAAAACCAGTAACTATATCATAACACCACAATCTTATACACGTTTCACATATGTTCTTTTGTATCTCTTCAGAGTTTAATAAAATTGTTTTTGGAAAAGCTAACATATTAAGCACATTTCTCTGGTAAATCCTGCTCTCTTAAAGTTCCATGCTTCTCCACCATACTTATATGACTCAGTTAAAAAAACAGATATGTACAACAATCAGAAGCATTAAACCAACACAGCAAAACAAAGCAAGCGACAGTTTAATTTGACTCAATTACAGTTTTAAAAAAAAGAAAAGAAAAGAACCGTAGCGCTAAGGGCTCCAAGTCTGTGGAAAGACCCCACCGCTTTGCTTATGGTATTGGAACACTGAGACACTGGACAGTTGGCTGCATCACCCACTTACTACAGAACATTAGAAAAGCAGCAAAGCTACATTCAATTCCTTCCCTATTTTTATTTTTTATTTTTTTGAGTCGGAGTCTCACTCTGTCGCCCAGACTGGAGTGCAGTGGCCGCTCCCGGCCACCGCAGCCTTGACCTGCTGGGCTCTGGCAATCCTTCCGCCTCAGCCTTCCAAGTAGCCGGAATTACAGGCATGCGCTACCATGCCTGGCTGACCTATTTTTTTTTAAATGCACCATAAATTATTATGTCACATTTTAACAGGAGCTGTCCAATGTCAGCATATATGTTCCCAAAGCAAGTGCCTTCACAACTTTTAATATAAACCAGTATCTTTGAAAAGAGTTAACAATATTAATTAAATAATGATAATGGCTGAAGATGGTAAATTCATTACAACAATCTGTTTTTATATATGTCTGAAAAGTTCCACAAAGTTTTAAAATCAAATTGAAGACTCATATTTTAATTATTAAATAAAATACCCATTTAAAAGAAAAGTCAGACAATTCTCATTTATGTACCTTTCAAAGTACAAAATATAATTTTCCATACTCTTTACTACTGGCAAGAAAAAATAAAAATAAAAAAGTTTGTTTTAAATCTATGTTAAGGCTTTTATCTATGACCTAAGAAAGTAAAAGGACATTCATCTAAAGAAAAACTATGTAGCTGTATTATCTTAAAGCCCTCCAAGTCCTTGTTGAGACCCCAACACAAACATCTACTTCTCTCATTTAACATGTAAGAAAAGCTTTATAACTAAAATTGTCCAAGTGCCAAATAGTCTTTATGAAGAATCTATGTTAAGGCTTTTATCTATGACCTAAGAAAGTAAAAGGACATTCATCTAAAGAAAAACTATGTAGCTGTATTATCTTAAAGCCCTCCAAGTCCTTGTTGAGACCCCAACACAAACATCTACTTCTCTCATTTAACATGTAAGAAAAGCTTTATAACTAAAATTGTCCAAGTGCCAAATAGTCTTTATGAAGACGGATGGTAGAATGCTCCTCCGGCATAAGAAGGCTGGTCTGGCCGGGTTCAGTGGCTCAGCCTATAATCCCAGCACTTTGGGAGGCTGAGGCTAGTGGACTGCCTGAGTCCATGGGTTCGAGACCAGCCCCGGCAACTTGGCAAGACTTCGTCTCTTCATTAAATCAAAAAATTAGCCAGGCATGGTACCACACACCTGTGGTTCCAGCTACTTGGAAGGCTGAGGTGGAAGGATCACCAGAGCCTAGCAGGTCAACACTGGCTGAGGTGGTGGTGAGTGTGCCACTGCACTCCAACCTGAGCAATAGAGCCTCCACCTCAAAGAAAGAAAGAAAAAAAAAAGAAGACTGGCTTACCACTTATAGGAAGGCAGACAGGAAAGAAGCTGTGCCTCTATTTTCCTTTGTATAAAGC